TTTAAGTCCATTATGCTGCACTTTGTCAAATGCCTTCTCAAAATCATTTATACTGGCATATACTTCCTGATTTATATCTAAGCATCTCTGCGAAAGAACACTTACAGCAAACAGTACATCTCGTGTTCCCAGTCCTTTCCGAAATCCAATTTGTGTATTACTTATGCCTTCATCTAATTTCTTATGTATTTTATTGTGAATTACTTTTAAAAAACCATTTCAAAACATGACTCATTAAGGCTATGGTGCGATGTTCATTGCACTCGTTTGCACTGGCATTTTTGGGAAGCAGTATGAATGACTGGGAAGATGACTGGAAATATTTGGGAAGCTGACGATACAGTTCTCCTAACGGGAACGCTAGTAGAACTACAACATCTCGTTCAAAGTCTGAATATATACTGTAACAGTTACGGCTTGAAAATTAATTTGAAAAAAACTAAATTTATGGTAATCACAAAATCAAAGAACATCAGAGCTAATCTTGTAATAGACAATACAACGATTGAGCGTGTGCCCTGTTATAAATATCTAGGTGCTTGGATCACAGACGATACTGATCAAACAAAAGTGATTAGATGTAGAATAGAAATCGCTAGATCAGTCTTTAATAGAATGCGCAAACTCTTTTGCAATCGTGATATCAATATAAGTTACGAATACGAATGCTGCGGTGTTATGACTCTTCTACCCTGTTATATGGAGTTGAGGCTTGGACACTAAAACAGTTGATCATAAAAAACATCGAAGCTTTCGAGATGTGGTGCTATAGGCGCATTCTCAGAATATCATGGATGAACTGCGTCACTAACACGCAAGTACTTCAAACTTTAGACAAAAGATGCGAAATTCTAAATGAGATAAAAACTAGAAAGATGCAATACTTGGGGCACATTGTGAGAGGTGAAAAGTACGAACTTTTAAGAAACATCATGCAGGGCAAAATTAAGGGCAAAAGAAGTGTGGGAAGAAGAAAAATATCGTGGCTTCGTAATCTACGTGAATGGTTCGGGTGTAGTTCGATTGAACTTTTTAGGCGCGCTGCTAACAAAGTCGCAGTGGCCATAATGATTTCCAATCTCCGCTAGGAGTGGCACGAGAAGAAAAAGAAGATTGAATGTTGATTGGAGCAATTCTTTAGGTATTATATCTGTTTTTATATATGGTATTGAATAGGTCCAAAAGAAGATCAATAGATTCAGTATTCACAATGTTGAGTTATTTGATAGGAACTTCATCAGGCCCGGGAGATTTACCACCTTTAGCTTGTTTCATTACATTTTCAATTTTCTCTCGTATAATGTCAGGCCCAGTATCATCCTTAAATTCTTTTGGTGCTTCTGTTCTCTCTTTGTCTTCAAAAAGTTTTGCTATATATTGTGTTCATCTCTGCATTTTTCGGCTTATATCTGTTATAAGTGCACCACTTTCATATCTTATTTGCTTAGTTTGAAATGTATTTTCGATTCCTGTTAATTCTCTAATTCTTTTATGCATTGAGAAAAAGTCATATTTTTTTTCAATTTCTTCTAGTTCTTTTCACTGCTTATGTAACATTCTCTCCTTAGCTTCTTTTATTCTCTTTTTAATTAATCGATCAGTTTCATTATTTATTTAATTGGATTTTTTATTTTGAATGATTTTCTTTCATTCATTAATATTTCTTCAGTCATCCAGTCTTTATGTTTTCTTGGAAAGATCCCAATGTTCGACTGAAGGTGAGTGAAAACCTCAATACAAAGATGCTTAAATGCAGAAACGCAGGCACCATCGAGGTAATCCTTACCATTCTTACAACAATAAATGAGAAAAATAAAAAAACAACACCTGAAGAAAAATATGCAGAAAAACGAAAATCGTGGATGACCGTTGAAATACTTGAACTTATGGACCAAAAAAAAATAAAGAAAATCTCCTACTACTACTACTAAGGATTTCCACAGTTTTCACTGTCTTCCTTCACTCAACCGTTTTCTCCAATTTTCCCTGTCATTCCAGTCTCCATCTCGCAGGGTTGTTTTCTCCATACCTCGTCGATTTCGTCTCTGAATAACCTTCGGGGTCTTCCTCTCTTTCTTCTTCCGATCGGGCTCCATTCTGTAATTTTGTTTATCCAGCGTCCTCTATCCGTTCTTCTGACCTGGCCGTACCAGGATAGTCTCTTCTCCTCTATATAGTCGATTGTGTCTGATTGCACTCCCATTCTCCGCTTAATCTCTGCGTTTTCAATTCTGTCCCTTTTTGTAAGTCTACAGCTTCTCCTCAGAGAACTTCATTTCTACTGCTCTTATTCTACCTCTATTTCTCTTGTTTATCCAGTTTTCGGACCCATATGTCAGGATACTTCATGTGAGGGTATTATATATTCTCTTTTTTGTCTTTATCGTAATGTTCTTATCCCACAGCACTGAATTTAGTTGTCTTATACAGTTTCTTGTTTGTCTTAGTCTGTTGTTTATGTCTTCTTCTGTTGTTCCCTGGTTCGATATTATGGTTCCTAAATACTTGAATTTATCTGTTCCATTACTTGTCTTTCCTCGTCCATTCCGTTGTTTTTATATTTTTCTTTCAGTTTTCTGAGCATAAAGCTGAGATCTTCTTCATCTTGTGCGATGACTACTTGATCGTCCGCAAAACTTAAGGTGTATAGGTATTAGTCTCTTACTGGTGTGCCCATTCCTTCGCACATTCTCCTCCATGGTTTGAGTGTCTTTTCCAAGAATATTTTAAACAGAGTAGGGGACGTAGCACAGCCTTGTAGAAGTCCTTTTGTCGTCTTAAATGGATTGTAGGCTTTATTTCCACATTTAATAGCTACTTTGTTTTCTTTGTACAGTGCTTTAACTGCTTTTATTAGTGTTTGTCGGATTCCGAGATCATTCATTGCTTCCCATAATTTGACTCTAGGTATTGAGTCGTATGCTTTCTTTAGATCAACAAAGGCCAGATGGACCGGTCTGCCTTTTGCCATTTTCTTCTCTATCAGTTGTTCTAATGTGTACGTATGATCTAGGCATGATTTTCCTACTGTGAACCCTGCTTGGTCTTCTCCAATTTTTCCTATTATTTCAGTTTCTAGTTTTTCCTTGATAATTTTCCCGTAAAGTCTACCTACCGACGGTATTATACTAATTCCTCTGTAGTTTTCACATTTTTTCCTGTTTCCTTTCTTATGTATGGATGTGATGTATGCTTGTGTCCATTCCGCAGGTATTTCCTCTCCATTTAGTCCTCTTTCGAACATTATGTGTAACATGCGGAATAACTTTTCCGTTCCGTTTTTAATTAGTTCGTTTGGTATCCCTCCGGATCCTTTAGCTTGTTTGTTCTTCAATGTCTTGATTGCTCTCTTGACTTCTGTCAGACTTATTTTTATCTGGTCGTATGTCCCATTTCCTGCATGTTCTGTATTATCTTCCTGAAATTGGGGACGGTTTTCTGTAAGTAGTTCTACGTAGTATTCCTGCCACTCGTTTTCACTAACTTTGCCGATCTGGTTTTCTCTATCTTATTTCGTTGGAGTGCTTTTAATATTCGTCATGATTCTGAATTTCTCGTTCCTCTGATATGTCGTTCTATCTCTGTGCATGCAAGTATGGGAAGAATACTTGGAGAAACTTTTCCACGACCTTAGAAGGATGCAAAACCCATCATTCAAGAGCCGTCAGACAGATGAACTATGGAAAGGCACCTGGACTTAATGAAATTCCTGCAGAACTGCTGAAGTTATTAGATGCAGAACAAATAAAAATAGTAAATGAAATATTTAATGAAATATACAAATCAGGGACAATACCAGTAGAGTGGCTTAAATCGGAGTTCGTACCATTGCTCAAAAAACCAGGAGCAAAAATTTGTGAATACTATACGACCATAAGTCTGATGAGCCATCTACTGAAACTATTTTGTAAAGTCATCCACAAAAGAATTGTGAAGAAAATGCGAAGAACAAATTGCGTCCAATCAGTTTGGATTTGTTAACGCCGTTAGTACGACGGAAGCTTTATTTAGCGTGTAAGTATTGTTTCAACTGTGATGTTTTTACATGCCTGATTGACTACAAGAAGGCTTTCGACAGAGTCAGGCATGAAAAAATGTTGGGAGTACCGAAGAGAATAGGAATTGATGAAAGAGACCTAAAAATAATAGCTGACCTGTATTGGAATCAATCAGCGGTACTCCGAATAGATGGAGGAAACAGAGATCAAGTGAAAATATTAAGGGGAGTGAGAGGGGGTGGATAATTTCACCACTGATATTCAATCTGTACTCGGAGCACATTTTTGAAGAGGCTCTAAAATATATTGATAAAGGCATCTCAATAAATGGAGTCAAGTTCAATAACCTGCGGTATGCAAATGATACAATAGAGTTTTCCAATACCATGGAAGGGCTGCAAAACCTAATAAACAAAATAACGAAAGCAACTAGAACATAAGGACTGGGTATAAATACCAGCAAAATCAAGCTAATAATCATCAGCAAGGAAAACATAACTGGAGCAAATCTGTATGTGAACCAAATGAGACCTAAACGTGTCTCACAGTACCACTACCTGGGAATTAGAATCAATTAGTCGTGAGGCAATACCCAAGAGATTGAATGGCGCATCGGAAAGCAATGGTGCAATAAAGTCAATATAGAACCGCATTTTAAAAATATTGATGATAATATTTTAAATTTTTCTAATTTTAAAAGCATATTAGATGTTTCATTGGTCACTATGCATGAGGCTGATAAAATTAAAATATTAGAAAATGTTTATATTTTCAAGTAACAACACAAAATAATTTGTATGTTGAGAATGATTTTTGAGTAGTAGGTAAGGCGAAACGCCAAATTTAAAATAATACTAATTATAGTTGCGGCTTGTTCCCATAAAATAAAACTGTTAATATAAATGGATTGTAGATACAAAGCTGAAAAATATTAAAGACTATATTATTTATATAGTGTGGTAAAGTTTGTAAAATTTAGACTAATTAGTACATATGTTCTAGGTACGTTTTTTAATGAAAGTTCACGCCTTTGTCAGACATAATGCTCCAAAGATGTTACATAATTCTGGCGATAAAACAGCAGATGATTGTCTTTCATTCTCGAAATTTCTATATTTTTTGTATATACCAACAATAATCTATAGGGACCAGTATCCCAGGTAAGTAAACAGTATTGTTGTGATATTTTTTATAAACTGCTTTTCTAAGCTGTCTATGATCAGGACGTTATAGGACATCCCAGAACAGTACCCTTTTAATGAGTGAATCTATCTAAATATCGAAACACTGTCGTAGATCGCATCTTATGATATGTTGAAACGTGTGGCGGAAAAGTGACCAAAATAAGATATATGATATCCTGAAGAAGAAAACTACGCTTCTATTTCTTAGAGTGCCGTCTCCCTACAGAGGTTAGCAATCATAATGGCTATTTTTATTTTAGAACTTGCTGCTCTAAACAAATCAGTCGTTTTGCATTGATACCAATCACGTAGATTCTTTAACCATGAGTTCTGCCTTCGGCCAATAGATCTTCTTCCTGGAATCTTTCCCTGTATTATGAGTCTCAAAATTTCATATTTTGGACCCCTCATCATGTGGCCTATGTATTCCAGTTTTTTAGTTTGTATTGTGGTGATTAGTTCTGTTTCTTTACCAACCCTCTCTAGTACTTCTTTATTTGTAATTCTATCAGTCCATGATATTTTTAATACTCTGAAACTGCGCTTAGAAAATGCCAAAAAATAATTGTTACAACAAACAAAGTTAAAACTTCTTCTTCTTTTTATATAAACATGACTCTGCCTATTTTTTAATATGTCTCCAGTAAGTTGTCATTCCATCGTTTTCGTGGTTTTCCGACTGATCGTCTTCCTATTGTAGAACCGTCTTTTGCCGACTTTACTGCTCTATTCGTTGTCATTCGGTTTATATGATCGTTCCATTTTACTCTTCTATTTCTTACCCAGTTTTTGATGTTCTCCATCTTGCATCTGGGCCATATAATGAGAGGAGAAAAGTACTCTCTGCTTAGACTCATAAACCAAGGAAAAATCTCGCGAAAGAGACATGTGGGACGTAGGAGGATTTCCTGGTTGCGAAATTTAAGGGAGTGGTATGGGTGCAGTTCAATACAGTTGTTCAGAGCTGCAGCCAACAAACTAAAGATTGCTGTGATGGTAGCCAACCTCCGATAGAAGACGGTACTAAGGTACGGCAAGAAGAAGACCTTGCATCTATGTACGTCTAGCTCTGTCTCATAGTCTCTTACCATCAATTTTTCTAAGTGTTCTCATCTCTGCTGTTTCTAACATCCTTTCCCGATATTTTTATTTCTCCATATTGTTTCATTTAGGCAGCCTGTGGCTCTGTTTGCTCTATTCACTTGATCTTCCACTTTGGTTTCGAGATTTCCGTAGCTAGATAATGTGATGCCTAGATATTTAAACTCCATCACTTGTTCTATTATCTGGCCTTCCAGCTCCAATTTACATCTAGTATTGCGTCGTCTGCATAGCAGATTTTTTTTACCGCATCAATCCCTAGGGTTATTAGCGGGGTGGTATATCTTTATTTTAGAAAAGTTACACTTAATATGTTATTAAAATTTACATAACAGTTTTGAAAAATACAAACGATTTATGTTATGTTACAGTTTGTTATATAGTTTACAATTTTTGATAAAATTTATTGTATTACTGATGTCTTCTTTTAGAGTTTCTTTCAAATTGTGTTTTATTTTTGCTGTCGATCTTGCTGTTGAGTACAGTGGACAGTCTATCATTATATGTTGCACTGAAAATGGTATTTGACAGGTGTAGCAAATCGGCTGAGGGTCCTTGGAGATGATGTATCCATGTGTATTTTGTATGACCTAGCTGCAGTCTGTTAATAACTACTTGGTCATGTCTTTGAGCTGGGAGCGGTAGTAAAGCAGAAGTAACATCTGGTTTGACAATTTTTAATTTTGCTTCTGTTTGGCTCCATTTTTGTTGCCAGGTTTTGTTAATGTGTTTTTATTAATGTTTTTTGGTCTGAAATTCGTATGTTTTGCATAATAGGAATTGTCATGTTATTGATAGATTCTGTTGCTGCTTTATCAGCTGCTTCATTACCCTTTATCCCAACATGAGATGGTACCCATAAAAATGTTATGTTTTCACCACGTGTTTGGGCATTGTATAGCATGTATTTTATTAGTGCTAAATTAGCATGAGTAGGATACATCTGCTTGACACCATTTAAGGCACTTAAAGAATCTGATATAATAAGAAAATTTATATCATTGCTGGTACATTGGTTCAGTGCGTTGAAGATTGCTTGCAGTTCTCCAGTGTATATGCTACACTCCTTGGCTAGACGGGTGACAGAGGTGTTGTCTTCAAAAATAGCTGCAGCAGCTACACCATTACTGCTTTTAGAGGCATCAGTAAACATTAGTTTAAAATCAGATATCTGGAGCTGGTAGACCGGAATTGTTGTTTTATTTCAGAAGGATTGTGTGAATTTTTGGGATAGTTAAGTAAGGTAAAATCTACTTTTGGTATTTGAACTTTCCAGGGAGGATACTGGCATCTATTTAAAGATGTGGCTCTCAATTTATGTATATCAAATTCAAATCGATTTATTCGTTCATTGAAAGGTAAGTTTCTAGGGCAATAATTTATGTACAGATTTGGAGTGTTGCTCTTTATTAGGCTTGTTATAAACGGGTTTTCATTTGCACTGAGATATTTAGTAGCACAACACATTGAAAAATATTGTCTTCTGAGAGCTAATGGCGGTTCTCCTGCTAGGACTTGAAGGCTGCTAATTGGTGTGGTTCTGAAAGGTCCGAAAACTATGCGTAATGCTGTGGATTGGATGATGTCCAGTTTATTCAATTGACATTTAGTAGCGGTTTCGTAGCATATACATCCGTAATCTAGTTTGCTTCTAATTAGAGCTTGATATAATCGTAGAAGAATAGTTGTGTCTGCGCCCCATTTGTGATTGGAAAGAACTTTTAGAAGATTTATTCTCTGTTGGCATGATTTAATTAGTTTATTTATGTGCGATGTCCATTTGAGTTGAGAGTCGAATGTCAATCCCAAAAATTTGATTTCGTTGATTGTTATCAGAGTATTTCCGTTTAGTTTTAAATTTAAGTGTTGTTGTGTTTTCCTTTTGTCAAGTATTATTACTTTAGTTTTTTCGGCTGAAAATCTCAAGCCTATATCTAAAGACCACCCTTCTAATTTATTTAGTATATTTTGTAATATTGATGCAGCTGATTTTAGGTTTTTACTTCTCATATATATTACAAGATCATCGGCGTAAAGGTTTGCTTTTACTGGAAGCATAAAATGGTTAGATACGTTGTTGATTTCTTAGTTGACATGACACCGTTTGTTTTAACTTTTATACTTTTGTTCTACAGGAAGTTTTTGGTGAAGGCTAAGAATTTGCCATCTATTTTCAATCTTTTCATTGTTTTTAAGATGTGATATGTTCACGTGGTGTCTCACAAAATGTCATCACAAAAGCTAAATGATTTTGTGATGTCAAAGAAAATTGCTATTAATTTTTGTTTATGTATAAAAGCTTCGTGTATTTCAAATTCTAATGCTATAATATTATCTATTGTAGACCGTTCTGATCGGTACTCACTTTGGATGGATGTAAGGAGATTTTTCTTTTCTAAGTATCATTTTAATCTTTTGCTTAGAATCTTTTCCATTATTTGGCAGATGCTACAGGTAAGAGATATTGGTCGATACGAAGAAGATAAGTTTTTTGCTTTATTGTCTTTAAAAATGGTATTATAATTGCTTCACATTCGATAATTCGATTCAAGCATTCGATAATGTAAAACATGAATTGATGATAAAATACCTACAAGAGTTGGGATTGGATGCAAAGGATATAAGAATCATCGCCAATCTGTATTGGAATCAGACAGCATACAGTACGTCTTCAAAATTTCAACGAAACAGAAGATTTCTCCATTAAAAAAGGAGTAAGGCAAGGTTGTATACTGTCTCCAATGCTGTTCAATTTATACGTAGAAAAAGCCTTCGCAGAAGCAGTAGAGGACTCTAATAAGGGTATTAAAGTTAACGGCATATTTATTAATAACATCAGGTATGCCGACGATACAGCCATAGTGGCAGATAACATCGAAGATCTTCAATGCCTTTTAAATGATCTAACTCTTGCAAGTGAAGCTCGGGGTTTGAAAATAAATATCAAGAAGACAAAATCAATGATTATAAGTAGAAATGATTACCCCAACGCAAAGATATATGTCTCTGGAGAAGAAATCGAACAAGTCAGGCAATTCAAATACTTGGGATGTTTGCTGAATGAGGGTTGGGACCCCGAGAATGAAATAAAGAGCAGAGTTGAACAAGCCAGAAATGCTTTTTTGAGGCTTCGTAAGTTTCTGACTGATCGCAAATTGGACTTCAATCTCCGATACAAGATGCTTAAATGTTACGTGTGGCCTGTTCTCCTGTACGGAATGGAAGCATGGACGTTAAAGGCCAGTTCCATTAACAAACTTGAAGTGTTTGAAATGTGGTGCCTGCGTCGAATGCTCAGAATATCATGGACGGACAGGGTCAGAAATGAGGAAGTACTCAGAAGAGCGGGCTTACAGGATAGGGAACTTTTTAATTATGTAAAAAGTAAGAAGACTGCATACTTAGGGCACATTATACGAGGAGAACGATACACTTTTCAGCAACTGATTCTCGAAGGGAAAATAGAGGGTAGGAGAGGTCTCGGACGTAAAAAAATGTCATGGCTGCGCAATATTCGACAATGGACAGGAATCCACAGCTATGAAATGCTTCGCAATGCTGCTAAAAACAGAATTATTTAATCCTGAATATTTAACATCTCACCTGACAAGACGATGTACGGTGGACGCCTACGCAGAAATGCACGGCACCTTAAGAAGAAGAAGAATTGCTTCACGCCAGAGAGATGGAAATTTATGGTTGAATAAATTTTGTCGAAGATCTCTACTAAAGTAACCTTCGCGATAATAGGTAGATTTTCGATGAAAATTAATGGTATCTCATCAGTCCAGGTGAGGCATTTTTGAGGTTATTAAGACTTTCATTTAATTCATCAAGGTTTATGGAAGTGTTTAGTGGACCAGCAGTATCTTCTATGTTAATTTTTGATGTTTCTGTTCTCTCTTTATGTTCTAAGAAATTTGGGTGGTACTGCTGATTGCTTGAATACAACTGATAGTGTTCTACTAAAATTTCTGAGATTTCATGTTTGTCTGAAGTTGTTAGATCATTTGTAGTTATTGTGTCAATATGGTTAAATGTTTTCGAACCTTTTATTTTCCTTATTTTTTGTTATATATCCCTTATGGGCGTAGACGAGTCAATTGACGACACGTAATTGGTCCAGCTTTCTTTTTTTCTTTCTTCATTAAAAATCTAGATCTAGCCCTTAAAGACCTAAAATTGTTGAAGTTATTAGATGTATTATACTTCTTGTATATATTAAAAGCATGTTTTGTTTGCTTTAAAACGGATGCGATTTCAGTGTTCCACCAAGGAAGAGGAGTTTTTGTGATATTTTTAGTCTTTCCTATAGAATCTCTGGCTGCGTCTAAAATTATACCATTGAAAGATGATAGAGTAGTGTCTATATTATCTGATATAACGAGATTTGGTATACGTATGCTTACTAAGTTCTAGTATTTTTCCCAATCAGCTGACTTTAATTTCCACGTTTCATATGATGTTGTACAGGTTTTTTCATCTTTGTCATGAGTAATTATTATTGGAAAATGATCGCTGTCGTATAGGTGGTCCAATGTATTCCACTGTAAAAATGGAGCTAAAGTTGAATCATTGATAGATAAGTCTATGGAGGAAAATATGCCATTATGTGCATTGAATCTAGTAGGTGTTCCTGTGTTTAACAAAACTAGTTTTATGTTATTAATTGATTCTAATAATATTTGTCCATTTTTATCTGTTTTTTGGGATCGCCATGCGATGTTGTGTCACCCAAAATTAATTTTGGAGATGGAATTTGTTTAATTACATTTTGAAGTTCTAATATAGTAGTTTCGTCAGGATGTTGTAAATATACGTTGCATATATTGATTTTAAAATGATGTATTTCCGAAACTGCTACCGCTTCCAGATTCGTATTTAACCGAATTTCTTTGGATTGGATGGTTGATGCATAGCAGATTATTTTAAGTTGTTTACAAACTTAAAACATGCACTTTAATCAAGCCTTAACTCAAATCTTATAAGTATGTAATTGTTATTTACGTATAGTTTAATAGTTTTTCATATCATTTTAGGTTAAAGACGATAAGATGGGGGTTTGTGTTTTATCGGTTACTGGAAATCGCTAATATAATAATTTTTTTGGCGTATTGGTACGAGTACGTCATTACACCATATTTTAAAGATACTTGCTTAAAAACATGGAGCGCGCTGGAGGTATTTCTGCTGTTTCTTGAATTCTCTATACCAGCTTACCTAATTATATTTGTGATGTTCTTTACTGTACTACACTCCATACAAAATGCTGTAGGCGAACTTCTTAGATTTGGAGATCGATTGTTTTACGCTGATTGGTGGAACTGTACAAATGTTCAACAGTATTACAGGAAATGGAATTTGGTGAGTTATATAATATAAACATAACATCAATATATGTAAACATTTTAAAATTTATCAATGGCTCTCTAATAATATTAAAAAAAAAAGATTTATGATCTACACGCGCGAAACAGACATTCAAAATCGCCGGTCCGCTTCAAGTGTTGTTTGTGAGAGAACGATTCTTTGTACAGAAAAGTGGAAGCCGTAGCTTAGTGGCTATTTTACTGGCTTAACAAGCTGAAGGGCCCGGGTTCAAATCCCGGTACCGACAAAAATTTAAAATTTCTAATTTAACTGAGCTGCCAGCGTGCTTCGGAGGGCACGCTAAGCCGTCGGTCCCGGCTACGAAAGTAATCGTTAAGTCATGTTAGGAGCGCTTGCGCGACCTGAAAACCCTAACACTAGACCTTAGCCAGAAGGTTACACGAACTTTACTTTTGTACAGAAAAAGTGCTAATAAACATTTTTGTTTAAATGTATATCAGTTTTCACGTTTAAAATATTTTTTCTACGGTGTAGAAATTTTTGTTAAATCGATGATTTTCGGTTCCCCTTCCCCTTCGAGGACAGGTTTAGGGGAAAATCCGGGGTAGAAGTTGCCAACTTTTTACATATTTTTGGGGTCTCAAAGTGATTTCCTCAGCAAAATTCAGTTTCATAGTTTTACTGCAACACATAGTAGGGATATGCCTTTATAGTTTTGACAGTTTCTTGTGTCTCGGCAGTACTTTATTCTTCCATGTTAAATTCAGGATGTGTAATAATCTCTTGAGGAAAAGAGAGGCTGGAGGTTTTTTAAGATAATATGTGTTTATTTTAAAGGATACACATTAAGAAATAAAGTTGTATGTAAATATATATTTCTAAAAAAAATTTTAACTAAAAACAAATTTTTTAAATAGTACTGCTAAAAATTATTACTAAACATTTTATTGTTTGCGAGTTTTGATAAGTAGGTGAGAGAATCATATAATCTGTATTTGAATCCAGCAGAAATGTATGTATATGCTACGATGTCATCATAGTTGGTGAATTCTTGAGAAGTTTAAGATTCGTCTTGAACTGCTTGTGATGTGAATAAAGAAAAACTAGCGTTTTTTGTCTAACCGTATCACTTGTATTACTTACAGGATGGCTTTTAGAAGTAAATGAATTTGAATGTGTTCGCAGCCATCTGTCCTCTCCTGTTCATGACGGGCATGTAACATGAGACGACTGGTCTTAAGATGACGTACTGGTGAAAAGATGTGTCGTTATTTCAGGCATAAAAAAATTTTATTATCCTTTGTCTCTTAAAGAATTTTTTTTACCTCATCCACTGTTCTTTCTTTTGCTCGTATTTTCTTTTTACTATAATTCGATTATTTCTCATTCTTGGGTTTTCTTTTTGCAAGAAGTATTATTCTGGTATAGCCTCATACATTTTCGATTCGCTATGTTTTGAATTGACTTCTTCTATTGAGGACGACTGATAACCGCTGCAATTAGTTTTTTTCCAATCTTACTAATACTGATACTTGATTCAGTTATCTCTCTGATGCTATTATCGTCCAAAATCTCATTAGAACTACCCAGGGCCAGTTTTTGTATTTTTTTACTCTTGGCCCAAATAAGTATTTTTCTGGAATTTATTTAAGTTAATCTTGAGATTTCTTAGTTATTTTTGAGAATTTACTTACGCTAAATACAACAGGAATTTCACATTGACAAAAAAACCTGAAATCATTACATGAAGTCGCGACTATCTGCATGAAATATCAGATTTCCGAGTTTTTTGTTTTGCTCTTGGTTTTGTTTCTTAAGACTATCCTAACTTAAAGTGTGCGTGAGGTGGAGTGTGCATTTCCAGGTGTATACACCTATATATCCTGCTATCTGTTGTTTTGGTTCGCAACTCTGATTTTGGTGTGAAATCTTAGTTTGCTTCTTCTGTCTATGAGTGTAGAAAGCTGACTTGTTAGCGCTTTGGCTTTGTATGTCGCTTGATTAACATGCTCCGTGAATGTGAGTTTTTTGTCGAGTATCACCCTGAGGTATTTTGCTTGATTTGTCCATTCTACTGGATGTTTCCTATCGTAGTTTCTTGGTTTGGTACACTTTTTCTGTAAATAAACGTTACAGCGTGTGTTTTGTCGGGATTTAAGGCGATTTTTCATTTTATACACAATCTTTGGAATTTATCTCCAGGTGACAGCTATCGCCGTATCGTTAGCGTAAAGACCTAACAGAGATCCTGGCTTTGTTGGCTTGTTGGCCCTATATGTTGTACAGATAAGACGACAGCACCGCTCCCTGAGGTTCACCTGCTTCCAGGGTCCCGACTTCGGATAGGGTTGGCCCTATCCGAACTCTGAACCTTCTGTTGGCTAGGTATGATACAAAAAGGCATTTCATCGCCTCGTTGTATCTCAGATCGCTCATTTTGTAGAGGAATCCTTGGTGCCAGACTCAATCAAATTCATTACTGACGCCCAGGAATGCTGTTGCCGTGTATGTTTTGTCGTTATGAATTTCTTTTGTTATGAGTTTCTGTAAGTCTTACTACCTGCAGTTCACAGGAGTGTTCGCTTCTGAACCCGAATTGAGCTTCCGGAATAGTGCCTAATACTTGTGATTCTTCGTTGAGTATTTTCAGTATGACTCTTTCCGCTACTTATAGACGGTAGTAGGCTGATAGGTCTATATTCACAAGGAATCTACGTTCCTGTAGTTGGCTGTATACCATGTATTAAAAATTTAATTAAAAATCCGTTGTAATAGGTATATGTTTAAGGCCCAAACGGGCTAAGTTAAAAAGACATAACGTTTTCGGAAACCATGTTCCATCATCAGTGTCCTAGAAAATAGTTAACCACTTAATTAAAAAGAACATAGGTTAAAATTTTGACTAAGGTTAATGAACAATGTGGTTAATACTTACTAGGAGTACATGAATGTAGCCACCAAGATTAAATATGTGGGTTAAAAACCCGTTAACAGATGTTTAATTACATTTAGTTTTAAAATTATGTTATAATAATTTAAGATTATAGAGTTACCGATGGATTAGGTAACATGGCGACATATGACTCCACGTTGAAGTTGCTAGTCCTGAGACGGTATGTCTTCGAGGACTGTATGAGTGCAACTGATTGGCAATGATATTTGATGACAATATTGTTAAGTTATGACGGGAATTATCACAGAGCAGTCAATGTAGCTGTATGTTTCTACTTAAGACAAAAGCCAACGTTGTTTAAAATTGTTAAAATAAGTAAACTAATATAACAGTATCAATTATCAATGTTGTAGTTTTAAATTTATGTAAATAAGATGATATAAGGGAGCAAAAATTGTATGGTTGTAGTTGTATTGTATGTAGCAATATAATATAGAAAAATTTTTATTATATGGCCCTTTATGTTTCTTAAACATTTGGTACCCAGAAAATATAAACTAGACACATGTGGAAGGTTGAATTTTAGAAATTTTGATGTTAATGGTTGGATCTAAATGTATTTATCTATAATTGGAAGTGTTCTTGTATGACTAAAATAAAACTGTTTTAGTAAATGTTCACGTGTTATTTAACTTTCAACTCAAATATAGAGGCCCTGTATGTCAGAAGCAACATTTGGTACCTGGCAAATGTGAAAATTTTTGAGTTATAATTCATTCAAAACAACCATAAATTTCTTTCTTACTCAATTTGAACATAGCCATCTATTAATCTTTCAAATTCAAGTTAAGTCCAGTACACAACGCAGACACATTCAACTTATAACTTATTCATCAAAAATTTTTTCATGTACCTAGTGTTGTATTATGACAGATAGGGCTTTTTTAAGTTAATATTTGAGTTCTATATGATAAACATAATACATAACCATATCCCAACCATCAAATTTTGTTTATTTCACACAATAGTTGAACGAACACCCTAAGATCCTCATATCCATTATGAATAATACCAAATTACATAACTTATTTATCTGCAAAGATGACACTACAAACACTTTTTTCGTTTCACTTAATATCAACAAAGCCAACCATACCATCATCACAATTTAAGACAACTTATACCTACAACAAACCTAACTTATAACTTATCCTTTTTATTTCTTTTGTGCCTAGTGTTGCCTTATGACAGATATTACCGTTCTTAAGTTATAAGTAGATTATTACACTATCAACATACTACATAATCATGTCCCAACCATCAAAAAATCTTTCGTTCATTACATATAATAGCTAATAGAATAAAACTTCCACACCTTTTAGTCTGTTACCACCTTGTCAGACATTTATGTTTATGAACTTATAACTCAAAAATTTTCACATTTGCCAGGTACCAAATGTTGCTTCTGACATACAGGGCCTCTATATTTGAGTTGAAAGTTAAATAACACGTGAACATTTACTAAAACAGTTTTATTTTATTCATACAAGAACACTTCCAATTATAGATAAATACATTTAGATCCAACCATTAACATCAAATTTTCTAAAATTCAACCTTCCACATGTGTCTAGTTTATATTTTCTGGGTACCAAATGTTTAAGAAACATAAAGGGTCATATAATAAAATTTTTTTCTATATTACATTTGCTACAACTACAACCATACAATTTTTGCTCCCTTATATCATCTTATTTACATTAATTTAAAACTACAACATTGATGGTTGATACTGTTATATTAGTTTACTTATTTTAACAATTTTAAACAACGTTAGCTTTTGTCTTAAGTAGAAACATACAGCTACATTGACTGCTCTGTGATAATTCCGTCATAACTTAACAATATTGTCATCAAATGTCATTGCCAATCAGTTGCACTCATACAGTCCTCGAAGACATACCGTCTCAGGACTAGCAACTTCAACGTGGAGTCATATGTCGCCATGTTACCTAATCCATCGGTAACTCTATAATCTTAAATTATTATAACATATTTTTAAAACTAAATGTAATTAAACATCTGTTAACGGGTTTTTACCCACATATTTAATCTTGGTGGCTACATTCATGTACTCCTAGTAAGTATTAACCACATTGTTCATTAACCTTAGTCAAAATTTTAACCTATGTTCTTTTTAATTAAGTGGTTAACTATTTTCTAGGACACTGATGATGGAATATGGTTTCCGAAAACGTTATGTCTTTTTAACTTAACCCTTTTGGGCCTTAAATATATACCTATTACAAAGGATTTTTAATTAAATTTTTAAATAGATAGGTCTATAGTTTTGAGGAAATGTGCCATTTTTTCCATGGCTTTGTGATCATGATATCATAAGTTTCGTTCCATCTGTCTAAAAAATATCTTAATTTAAGCATACTGTTTATAATGTTCGCGATGTTTACTGTAGCTCTCGCTGGTAGATTTTTCAGCGCTCTTTTATTAGACTCATCAGCGTATTAGTTGTTTAATTTTTTCAGGAGATGTGTGCATTATGCCTATTCTGCCTTTTCTTCCTTTTTTCCTTGTTATTCTTTCTACCTCTTCAGTGAAGTAAAGGTCTTCGTGTGAGTGTTCGTTGTTGCTACAGGCCCTTTCTAATTCGTCCTTCATGACTTCTGCTTTTTCTTTATCCTCGCATGAGTAAGGGGAATTGGTTTTTTGTCTTTTCGGAGAATTTTAGATAATTTCCACAACGCGCATTTGTTTGAGTTTATCTCTTGGATATAGGAGTCCCAGCATTCGTTCCTGTGGTTTTGGAGTTGTTTTTTCACTTCCATGTCTAACTCGTTTGCTATCCTTTTGTCTTCTTTGTTCTTGTGCGGTACGCTCTTCTTCTGTTTCTGTTTTTTTCTTTAATTAGGTTTTTGAGCTCTACGCTGATATCCCTGAATCTTCCTCTCTGTGTGGTGATTGTTTCCGTTTTGGAGCTGGCATGGATTTCATTTGTTATAGTTTGCTCTAGTTTTATTACGCTTTCTTCGGGCTCTGTGATATTGTTGATTGTTGGGATAATGTCGATGATCTCGCTCAAATTCTTTTAAAGTTTGAGCAACTTGTCTTCTTTTTATTGTGGAGCTGCAAATAGTTTGTTTCTATTGCACCCAGGGTCAGGATGATTACGTTGTGCGTCGAATCGCCTCATTTAATGAATGTATTTCTTATTGTTAACCCACGTTATGTAGGATTGCAATATCGAGATGTGTGGGAAGTATTCCGTGAAAACATGTCGGATCTGTTGGCCGATTACGTAAATATAGCCGCACAGCAATTTTCCATTACGATTGGTCGCCCTGTCGAACCAATTGGGAGATCGCGCATTCAGGTCGCCTGTGATAATTGTGGGCTCTTCTAAGTTAAGTAGTAAGCTTAAGTATTCGTTGAATATTGGATCATTAGGTCTGACATATGCAGCACTATTTTAATGTTTCGTTTTTGGCCATTAACCGAATGATCGTGGCTTCCATTGTGACCAAGCCATCTGCTGTTGGTATATGTTGATGTTCTATTCCTTTTTTTTCACCATCATGGCAGTTCCTCCTGCCTTTGTGATCTCGTCTAGAAGATTGATCTTTTTGAAAATTCTATTAGTGCAGAGCGTACGGCGTGGGAGACGTTGTTACCGTCAATTAAACCCTCCAATACGACACTAATTTGCATGTCTACATCTTAGGGTATAAACTCGACTTCTACTCATTCACTCTTCTTCTTCTTCTTCTTCTTCGTCTAGCCATTCACGTCCACATCTGAACATAAGCCTCTTCAAGTCTTCCTTTCGATTGTTTTTTATTGAACGCTACTTGTAGCCAATTTTTCCCGGCAGTCCTTTTCAGATCATCTGTCCATCTCATAGGAAGTCTGCCTCTGGGTCTTTTGTGTTGGTATGGTCTCCAGGTTAAAATTGATCTGTGCCATTTGTTTAGATCGCTCCGAGCTACATGTCCAGCGTATTCCCATTTCAACTTTAATGATTTTTGCACCACATCGGTGACTTTGGTTTTCTATCTTATCCATGTGTTTGTTTCTTGTCCTTAAGTGATATACCTAGCATTGCTCTTTCCATCGCGTGTTGAGTGACTCTAAGTATATTCATATTCTTTTTTGTGATTGTCCATGTTTGTGCCGCATAAGTTGATATCGGAATAATGCATGCATCAAAAACTTTAGATCTAGATTGTTGTTCTGATATAGTCGTTACAATGCTGCCACTTCTTCTTCTTTTTATTTCTTCAGTCTGAATTTCCCTATTAGGAGTATTATTTATATATAAGTATATATATTCTTCAACTTTTTCTATAACTTTATCGTTTATTATTGTCACGGTGTCTTCGGAGTGCATGACTTTTGTTTTGTTTAAATTCATTTTCAGTCCTATTTTAGAAGATTCGGTATGTAGTTCTACAAGCATGGTTTGCATTTCTTGTAGGTCAGTAGCTATCAGGATTATGTCATCTGCAAATCGTAGATTACTGAGGTAGCGGCCATTGATGTTTATTCCCTTATATTTCCAATTAAGGTTTTTAAAAACGTCCTCCAAAACTAAGGTGAACAGTTTGGGTGATAAAGTATCTCCCTGTTTGACTCCCTGTTTAATGGTACAGGGTTCGTGTGTTCATTTTCATTTAGGTAGTATGTAGCTGTAGCTTGGTTCATAGTTTCTTTTATTAAGTTAATATATCTGCTGTCTATTCTACAATTTTGCATTGCGTTTATTACGGCCGTGTGTTCTATGGTATCGAAAGCTTTTTCGTAGTCTACAAATGCTAGGAAAACTGGAAACTTGTATTCGTTACATTTTTCTATTAATATTTTCGTGGTTAACAGGTGATCGGAAGTTGAATAGCCTTTCCTAAAACCTGCCTGTTCATATGGTTGGTATTCGTCTAATTTCCTTGTTAGTCAAGTAGTTATGGTGAGTATTTTAAACAGGTGTGACAGTAGGCTGATGGGTCTGTTGTTTTCCAATTTTCGACTATCACCTTTCTTGTGTAATAAGATTACTTTAGAGTTGTTCCAGCTCTTAGGGACTTTGCCCTGATGTAAACAACTGTCCACAAGCTTAGTTACAATCGCAATTAGTTCCTTACCTCCTTCTAATATCATATCTGTGGTAATACTATCTTCTCCTGCAACTTTATTTCTCTTCATGTTTTCCAATGCTGTAGTTACCTCTGAAATTGTTACTTTTGGCATTATTTCTGATCCAACATTTTTTATTAATTTCCGTGCTGGTCTCATCTCATCATCTTGTTGATGTGATCTGTAAAGTTCTGTGTAAAATTCTTTCTATTCGTGTCAGTATGTTTTCTCTACTTGTGATTTCATTTTCGTCTTTTCCTATTAATGATATCATCTGACGTCGTCCTAGTGTCGGTCTGAGGCATTTCATACTCTTATTTTTTTCAATAGTTGTTGTTATTAATTTTTCGTTTTCTTTTCTTTTTTGTTGTCTGATTCCTTTTCTAATCTGCCTATTAAGTTCTCTATATTTGTCGGTTTCCCTTTTGTTAGATTTATTTAAGATCTTCCTTCTTTCTATTTGTTGTAATATTTCTTTGTCTAATTCATTGTATGTTGTTTTTGGTTTTTTCAGTTGCAGAAGACTTTTATTCACTGTTTCGGTAATAAGGTTATTCAAATCATCAATATCATTGGAGTTTATCTGCAGCATGCTAACTTGATTTAATGCATGCACTATCTTTTTATCAAATTCACTATTTTTGATTTCTTCATATGTCCATCTGTATCTTTTTTATGTATTTTTTTTCTTTCTAGTTTTTGTTATTAGGTTTTGTTCTTATTAGTCTATGATCGCTTCCTAGGTCAAACTGATTTAATACTGATACGTCTTCTACTAGGTTTCTATTCTTCGTTAAAATATAATCTATTTCATTCTTTGTCTTTTTATCGGGACTCATCCATGTCCATTTTCTTCTTGGTTTTTTATTGAAAAAGGAGTTCATTGAGTACAATTTATGTTCATTCATGAAATTGAGAAGCATTTCTCCTCTATCGTTTCTTTTCCCGTAGCCATAGTTCATTCACTCAGTCAACACAGTATTAATGTGAATGACAAATTATTTTATAAACTAGAATAAATGTATTATTTTTATTATTATAAGCAAAATATAACATTTTACTGTTACAATGTAAAGTGGCCGCAAGGAAAGATATTTTGTTACACTTCGCCAATGATCGTATTTAAAATTTCCTAGAATAAATTCATGATGAGCACGTGATTTCAGCTACATTTGGCCACTTACGGTGCGTGATTTCTGATTTATAGTGTCGTTTAATATTTGTAAGACTTTAGTTACAATAATTAGTTATTACCATAGTTTTAAACAGAATTTTTTTATTAAGTGCGTAGTAATAAAAAAAGATATTTTTTTTTTTATAGGTAATTGGAGACTGGCTTTACACCTACATTTACAAAGACATGTATGAAATAATTGTCCCTGGTAATAGAAATCTAGGAAAAATTATAACTGTACTGATCTCTGCTCTAGTGCACGAATGGATTTGCACTGTTTGCTCTGGATATTTTCTTCCACTCCACATACCACTTATGAGTTTTAGTACAATTTGCATGTATGTATTTAGAGTAAAAGAATATACCACTGCTTCTAACATTGTATACATTATAATGATAATGTTAGGTACCAACATTATTATAACCTTTTATGCTTTTGAGCATTTTACTAGGTTGAATTTTCCTTCAAATAAACAGTTTGTGTCATTATTTTGGACAAGTAATTGTGTTAGTTTACAGTAGTTGTATTTTTTGTGTTTCTAATAAATATTTTATTGTTTAATTTAAATTTTTTGTATATCTTTACTGTATATTTATCATTAGTATCACATTTATACAAATGTGTAACCTTTTTTTATTTTGATATAGCTAGAAAGGTCGTGGGTTCGACACTAGCATTTGAAATTAATATTTAGTTTAACAAAATAAATTATTAAACATAAGAAGAAACATGTAGAAAAAGGGCGTTACTTAACTTATTGTAATTAAAAGTAGAAAAAGTAGAAAATCAATAAATCAATAGCACATATCGCTGCCTTAGAACAGAACTAGTTTATGTCCCAAATTGGCTGTTTGCTGTTTTTTTAACCGAAACTTTCCTTGTTAAAGTGGGTACTTTCTGCAGAAATATTATTAAGTCCAGGTTTAAAATTATTACGTCTGTGAATGGTATGGAAATGGTAATTACAAAAACGGTTTTATAATTACCATTTTCAGACCATAGACTGTGACTGAAACTAAATTTGTAGATGGATATGTTCATAACTTGCCAACTACATCTAATTCTGAAAACTAAAGTCCAGAAAGAAAAGAATGTCAGAAGAATGATGGCCTAGGAATGAGATTAAAAGTAAGAGGAATTGGGAAATAGAGTATATAAACTGGAGATGCAACAGAGTGCAAGAACGAGCAAAGAAAGCCCCGTGCAATAACTGTAGGTTTAATTGTGTTTCAAAATTTACAGAAAAAGAACGTACTATGACATTGGATACTTTCTGGAACCTAGGCAACATAACCGTCAGAGGAATTTGATTATAAATAATGCAGAGGCGAAGCCTAATATGCGCTCAAGAATAAGTAATAATAAAACTGTTTACTGCACTAACGATATTGACGATAAGGATGATAAAAAAACGTCGTCAGTTAGTATTTGTGTGACCTATGCGAAAAATATAAAAACAACAATGAAGAACAGAAAAATGAAATAAAGATTCAATTGAAGACCATTTAAATAACAAGGTTTTTGCAAGAGAAACAAAGGAAAAATCAAAGAAGAGATGTGAAAATGATGATACGTATTTTGCAGCAGTTTTTGATATGCAACAAGTTCTTCAAACGCCACATTTAGACATATTTCAGCAGTATTATTGTAGAAAGCTTTCTGTATACAATCGAGTATTTATGATCTTCATAAAAAAAGGTTATTGCAACATGGGGGATAAGACAAAACGACAGAAAGGATCCAATGAAGTTGCTTCCTGTGTTAAAAAATTAATGCAAGAAAAGGTTCTGAAATGAAAACAAAAATGTGTTTTTTTCCTGACAACTGTGGGGGACAAAATCTCGACAGAAATATTGTCGTAATATATAAAGATCTAGCTTCTAAATATAAGATTAAAATTTCCCACTTTTTCTTGGAAAGGGACATACTCAAATTGAAGGTGGTAGTATACATAGTAATATTCATAAGGCTTCAAAAAATGTTACCTACTATATACGTGCCAAGTCTGTGGTACCTTATTGCACGAACAGCATGTAGAAAGATTCTATAAAATGTTACTGAAATGAATGAATTTTACGATTTTGTTGAATTCAAAAAACATACTTGTACCGAAATAGACAAAAATGAAAATGGTAGAAAAGGTTAAATGGCAGAAGGTCGTATAATAATAGTTTTTGTGTGTGATGTGAATTTTATCAGAATTAATATTGAGCGTAGGACAAGAAAAAACTTTGTCTGTACATAATGACCTGCAAATGTTGAATGCTGTAAATTTACCTATTAGTACAAAGAAATTAGAGGATTTGAAATATCTATGTAAATCATTGATCATTCCGACCGTGTACCATGACTTCTATTTGAATTTAAAGTCATAAGGAAACTTAATTTCAAAAATTACTGTTTTTAAAATTTATTTTGTAATCAGCCATAGATTAATAAAATATTTGTATTTTTATGAACAGTAGTATTGTAATTGTAAAAATGAAGAATATTGTTAGTGTAGAACTAACATAAGTCCACATAAACTACTTCTTCTTCTTCTTTTTTATAAGCAAAATGCTTGTTCAATGTCGATTAATGCCTCTATTGGAGGTTTATCACTCCATCTTTTTGCGTGGTCGCCCGATACTTCTTCTACCTTTTGGTGATTTGTCCCTCGCTATTCTGACTAATCGGGTCTCTCTCCATTCTGTTTATGTGTTCGTTCCATTCCTTTTTTCTGTTCAATGTCCACTCATTTATTTCTGGTATATTGCATTTTCTTCTGATCTCTTCACTCCTCATTCGATTCCTCAGTGTGTTTCCTGTAATTCTCCTCAGTACACGCATCTCCACTGTTTTTAGTAGTTGCTGAGTTTTGGAGGTATCCGGTCTTGTCTCTGAATTGTATGTCATAATTGGTCTTATTGTTGCTTTGTAGATTCTTGATTTCACGTCGGTATTAATGTGGGGATTGCGTCATATCGTGTTATTAAGACAACCGGCTATTTTATTAGCCTTTTGTACTTGATTTTTCACTTCCTTCTCCATATCTCCGTAGCTAGACAGTGTAATTTCTAGGTAATTTGTCTCCAGTACTTGCTCAATGCTGATACCGTCGATTTCCAGTTTACATCTAATTGATTCTTTACTGATTACAATTGTTTTAGTTTTCTGTGTAGAGATCACCATATTAAAGTCCTTTGCCCTTGTGTTGAATCTATGGGTTAGTTTTTGTAGATCGTCTTCATTGGATGCAATTAGGGCCGCATCATCTGCATAGCAGAGTATTCTGATTTCTTGTTCCCCATTTTGTATTCTCTTCCTTTATTAATAGTATTGATGATTTCATCCATGATTAGATTGAATAGCGTTGGACTAAGCGAGTCTCCTTGTCTTATTCCATTGCCCATATCTATTGGATCTGTATGCTGGTCATCTATTCTGACTTCCATATTGTTGTTCTGGTAAACTGGTAAACTACTTCTGTACTAATAATTCTCATGCAGCACTAGTCTATGTGCACCTAATTTTTTTTATAATAAAAATTAAACAAAAAAAATTAGTTTTACAGTAAAGTTTCTAAATGAATTGAAAAGTATGCACAAAGTAAACGTTAATCTTTGAACAACAAAATAATGGAAAACTAAAGTTCTGAAAAACTTCAAATTTCTCTTGTGATCTGAAAAATTGTGATTTCGGACATAGACTAATTCTGTTCTAAAGCAGCGATATGTTTGTAAATGTTACCTGCGAAAATTTTGCCTCCTTGGCTCGAAGACTCCACATTTTTAGCCAATTTTTGTATTGCATGTAGGATGGCCTGTACTGTGTGTGATACTACGGCTGCGTCTTAATGAGAAAAGATTAGAGCACAAATTCTGAGAATATTTCCTTGAGGGGCTCCAGCCATACATAGTAATTGAGTAGAGTGTGTGGTATACTTATCGTGATGTTTACAAGGTAATGGCAATATTGTAGGTACGACCTTAGGATTTGGAAGTTATTGTTGGGAATGGATTTTTTGATTTTGTATAAAAGATCATTATCAAGATGTTTCAGGGATTGGTATTTGTTGGTAAACCCGGTGAATTTTTTAAGTGGTAGTGTGCTGTGGCCTAAAGCCAAACTGAGTGACGAGGTATTATTTGTTTGTCAATTAAAATTGGCTCTATTTTAGATAAGTTTTTCCAATAGTTTAGACAGAATAGGGAGCAGGCTAATAAGTCTGCAGGAATTTATTTTCTCCAAGGGTTTTCCGGGTTTTTTTTTCCGAAATTTCAATTTTTTTTCCGGAGTTTCAAGTTGATAAGGAGATTCGAGATAAATTTGTATTTTTTTTATCTGTATTAATACGTTCATCTGTAGAAAAAGAATAAAAAACCATTTTAAGATTTTCCTTTTTAAAGAATAAAAAACCTTTTTGCCCACTTGTCATATTTGGTGCAAATTGGAGGGTTGTAGAATAAAGGACGTTCTATTTTCCTGGTTACTTTGTGAGTTGCTGTTATTTTTACTCTCTAAATCATTATCTAGACTTTGAATTATGTTAGAAGTAGTGGTTGGCGAATTTAACCAATAATCATTAATTTTCGTTTACTTTACAGTTCTTTTATCAGGACTATTTCTGTTCCTTTTTCTGTTTGCCACTGCTTCCTATTTTTCTGGTCAACCTGTTTTGCTTGCATATTGTTTGAGGTTTTGGGGTTGTTAACAGGTTCACTGAGTACCTAATGTAATAAGAATATGCCAGGTGCAGAAAACTTTGTTTCAACAAACAGTGATAATAGTTGGTTGTGGGTATTTTATATGATATATATGTTTTAGACATTATATGTACACATTTGGGAGCAAATATCAAAAGGCTACAAAAAATTATGTTTTATTTGAAAAGGAACAAAACATACACTAAAATTAATATAATAAGAGCAACTTGAACGTTATATGTAACAAATATTACAAAAAATACACCAACTAGAGTAATTTTTGTTCTTCATGGTATGTTACGAAGCATGCTTCTAGGCAAAGACCAGGTTTGTTAGTACAAATAAGACATTCATAATTCGTATCTTTTCTTTTTTTTTTCACTGTACACACCCTGCACTTTTTACGTATCGTTTCTCCTTTTGTATTTTTCTCAGCAATTTTGCTCAAAATATGCCGTTCAGACAAGTTATTCAATGTTTTAGGAACATTTTTCAGATGAGAGCGTAGTAAATTTCTTACAGTTTCTAGTCAAAATTCGTAAAGAGACGGTTTTGTTACAGAATGTTTGTTAAATAAAAAATAATAGTTTACTAAAATCACTTGTAGCATGTTATTACAGAATTTTTTGTACCAGCGAAAGATGTTTCTTTGGCAATGATAGTATGATATCATTTGATCCAACACCACTCATATTTTTAATATATTTGGCGATTGGAAGAAGTTTTAGTTTTTTTTTTTTCGTTTGTTCTCAGATTCTACCATAACATTGCTGAACTCAGTGAATATAAATATACATTACTTCCCGTTTATCGACCCATTTGCCAACAACAACGCC